TAGCTTTAATAGGCCGCGCGATTGTGTTTGCGGTACTTTATGATGCTGCCAGTTTCACCAGAGAGAGCCTGTTTGCGCTTCGTGATTTCTAATGTCACACCAGTGCATTTACATTACGCTACAGGCCTGCTAATGGCACGTGGTTATGTTTACAATGCGCCACGTGGCTCCAAATGTCACTGTCCGTCGTTTACGCAGCATTATATGACCTTTGGTTTGCCATGCACTTGTAACCGACAATTCCGAATTGCATTTACACTTAGCGCCGCTAAGTTATGGATTTCGTGTAAATCCTGCAGATTAGGCCACAGTCAACCGGAATTGGAGTGCACGTCACTGCGACGATTCAAAGACGAAAATCTTTCAATTGTTAATTTTACGATCGAACGGATTCCTTTACCTCTGCTCTTTTCAGATTACAATAATTTCACAATTTGAAGAAAGAAATCAAGAATCTCCTCCAGATCAATAGGAAGCTTCTAGGAAAAATGAGACAAAGATATTCGCATTATTTTTATAATAATCGATGTTTTATCGCTTTCTAGGTAACAATGGTTTCGCTCGTCACTCCGTCAAAGAACGAGACAGAAGACAGAAGACCCAAAAATTCTTGCGTGTGCCAAAGTTCACTTCGACTCGAACATTGAGACGAAGCTTACGAACGGGAGATTGTCCCGAGACGTTATCGTGGAAAAACAAGGCAAGAAGACACGCGGCTCGCGAAAACAACTTGGACGATTATCTAAATCTGTGTAGTCAATTTCGTCTGTGGTCGCTTTCCCTGCCGTGGTGTCCGACAACGCTCGTTTGGAATTGTAAAAGAGCGAACGACGACGCAGTCTTCTGGGTGATTCCTTTAAACCTTGGCATAGTAATTTCCTTTACTGCCCGCATTACCATTATCCCCAGGCTAGCTTTCAGCCGCCGGTTATCCTTCCACTCTTTCTTCCTTTTTCCTCGCAGTTACTCCGATGAACCGGTGTCGCCATACCACTGATGACAACCAACCAAAGTTCAAATGGAGACTCCATTTGAGGCTGAAGCAGGACCGTACTTGGTGGGTTGGAGGAACAAACTCACTGGGACCGTTTATCGGAATACGTGCACGCAGACTGGCAAGAACAATGGTAGAAACGACCAAAAAGCACAGACGAATTTCACGATCGACAAGTTTACGAATACGGAGCGTGACGTTGGAGTGCAGACGTGTGCCAACGTTGACGTTCGCGACAGAGTCGTACAGAGTTTCAGAAACTTCAAGGAACAGAGATCCGAGGAGCATTCGAACGAGAGGGAATCAAGAGTGAGGGATCCTTCGAACGAGAAGATTCTAGAGAGCGTCGTAAAGATACAGAGGTTTTACAGGTGAGTGTAACGAACGACGAAAGTTACGACAGCAATAACGGAGGAACGGAGAGGTTTTTTGAGATAGACGAGCACGATGCTTTTATTAATTAATCGTTGTAGCCGGTTACGAGGGGAGAGTTAAAACTTGTCGATGTTACACAACTTGTCCGCGTTGCATAAGTAGGTCAAAGGGAAACTGGCTAGCGGCACAGAATTTCTCTCTCTCCTTGACCTACGACAATCTAACATGATGCAGAGAAATTTTAAACCTCTCCAAACCCCCTTCTATTATTGCTTCCATCAATTTTCACGGTTTTACGACTATCGACCTTCGAAGTATTACTTAGCGCGCTTAGCCCTCGACCCACGAACTTTGCCCAAACCGTCTGGCTCCCCAAAATCCTTTGGATTCTCCCGAATCGAACCTGTCCACGAAGAACACATCCCCGTACACCGAGCCGGTGTATCGCAACTTCGTGGCGTAAACTCCCGGCGACGAACAAAATCTCCGAGGAACACCTGTTCAAATGTCTGTTGGACGTTGCCCGCAGAGCTCACCGCGGCCGGCAAACCACGATCTCGTCGGGCGGCGTTTCAGCCTGCGCTAAGAACACGAACCGGCAGCAAATACAGCCAGTGCCTGTAGCG